TAGGGATATATTCCCAATGGTAAAGTCATTTCAACAGTGGAAATTATTAAGAAGGGAAGTGGTCCCAGTGGTGGTAGGAGCACTTGGGGCTGTGACTCCTAAGCTGGGAGAGGGGCTCCCACAGATCCCAGGAACAGCATCAGAGCTCTCTGTCCAGAAGAGTGCAGGGCCAGGAACAGCTCAGATCCTGCGCAGAACCCTCCAACTCCCAGGCCTCTGGAGGAGGACCCGAGATTGAGGAAGACACAGACCACCCATAGGGGTCAGAGGATCCAAGGTTATATATTGAAACTTTTCCAGTTTTTCAGACTTGGAAACACTCCAGAAATGCTGCTTTAAATTTCAGTTTTAATTTCTGATTCTTTTTCTTTTTTAGTTCTCTTTTTCTCAGATTCTATGAAATAGTTCGTTGTGTTTTTTTCCCAATGGGAAAAAGAGAGTTTTTCAACCTTGGGAACACTGAGATGCCCCCCACCCCCCATGACAGGTGGATTTATTCAAACCCTCTCATGAATCAAGGGTGTCCATGGGGGGGGGGTCAGAAAAGTCAAGATGGCAGCTATGTCCATGTCCTGTCCCTTTTTAATGCATGTAATCACAAAGTCAAAAGCAATAAAGATAGATGTGTGCCAGAACACTCTAGGCTGCCAAAATGGTCATTTTGAGCTCCTTCTGAACACAAGGCTGGTAAGATCCTCACCCTGGTAAGAGCCAACCAGGGCGAGGATATTCCATAAAGCAGAGGTCACTACCAAGAAGGTCTGTCTCGTGTTCCAAGACCCCTTGATACTTCCCCAAGGGTGGGCAGAATTATGTTTGGAAGGACATCTTGTGACCATGCCAAATAGGGTGGGGTTTATTTATTTATTTATTTATTTATTTATTTAATCAATCAATTGGTATTTATAAAGGGTGTGCAGCATGCTGAACAATTGTGCAGCCACAACAATTAGGTATTTAATTCATAATAGAATGAATTAATGAATGAATGGCAACCTGGATTTGTGCAACCTTGCCAGCCCTTCTGGCTCATGCTAAGACCGTCTTAATCCAGCGTTTAGTTTCCCACCATGCCCAACCAGTTGCTGCTGGGGTCCTCAGAAGCAAGAGATGGAGACCTACCTTGGTTCCACCCTTGTTCCCCTGCAGCTGAGATTTGGAGCTAGCCTGCCCCTGATTGGAGGTGACGCTGAGCTTTCAAAATTAATGACCCCTGATAGACCTGTCCTCCAAGAATTTATCTAACCCCCTCTTAAAGCCCCTGCTAATCAGGTCCTTGTTTGAAAGCCAGACTGGAGGGATTTAAAAAATTAAAACTCACATAATGAGCATAAAATCAGAGTATTGGGAAGAGGAACCTGCTTCTCAGCTCTGTCACCACCTTGTGCAGAGGACCATGCAGCTTCTCCTTCATGCTTTCTTTAGAAGATCTATTCCCAAAGACACCTGAAATATCTCTGAAATCTTGAAGATCCACTCTACTGGCTTGGGGAATTTTCCAGGGGACTGAACATCTTTCTTCTGCACAACTTTGACCCAGCCCACAAAGGAAGGAGAAGTTACACTGATTTTGCATCAAGTCTTGATGGTTCTGGATTGCTCCTCTATATTAAATGTTCTTCATTTGGCCCCTATGTGAGTCTTTTTGCCAAGGACCAGGCCCGTGGAGTGTACCAGCTATGGCAAGCAGCAGTACTACCTGTTCTACACCAGGGAGTGGGTGTCTCAGCAGCTACCCAGTTCCTCATTATTTCTTCTTTCCCCACATGATTGGAGGCCTCTCATTTCCAGGAGCCCTGCCTGGAATACAACACCAGCTGCCGGTCAGTGGGTAGCCTTTGGCAGCTACCATTGAACACACAAAGTACCAGCTCGGAAGAGATTGTACCCAGCCCTCCTTCACCACCCCCAAATCTACAAACCCTGCTTTGTGTGCCAGGATAAGTCATCTGGCTACCACTATGGTGTTAGTGGCTGTGAAGGATGCAAGGGTTTTTTCCACCGTAGTATCCAGAAGAACATGGTGTAGACCTGTCACCGGGACAAGAACTGTACCATCAACAATGTGACCCAGAACCCAGCAGACTCAGTACTGCTGCTGACAGAAGTGCTTTGAAGTTGGCATGGCTAAAGAATCTGTCCAGAATCATAGGAACAACAAGAAAAAAGAGGATCCAGAAGAATGTTCAGAGAATTACATCATTACACTTGAGATGGAGGATCTCATTGAGAAAGTGCACAAGGCTCACCAGGAGACCTTTCCTGCCCTCTGCCAGCTGGGCAAGTGCACCACCAACAAAAGTTCAGATCAGTGGGTATTTCTTGACCTTGATCTGTGGGACAAACTCAGTGAATTGTCCACAAAGTGCATCGTCAAGATGGTTGGATTTGCCAAGCAGTTGCCAGGCTTTACCATGCTCACAATTGCTGACCAGATCACACTCTAGATCCCCCTGACCAGATCACACTACGTGCCTCGACATCTTGATCGTACAACTCTGATCATCCTTCGCTACAATGGTCCAAAGCCTCTGGAGATGTTGAGGTTGAGCTCCAAATCTGTAGGGCATCAAATAGGCAAGGTCTTCTCTAGGTCTATGCTACATTGCACTGTAATAAATGTTCACATTCAATGTGCTTGCACGGGAACGGCACACTATAAGCAGATAAAAAATAAACAGGGCTGCACTTCCAGTTCAATGTCAAGAAATGGAGGACGGCTGAGAAGAGTTTAAAGATAAATATTTGCATATCCGATTCATCTGGCCAGTTTCTCACAGAAGTTGGAACAGAAGTTGAACAGGGAGATTTCTCCCACAATTGATTTAATGAGCACTTTAGGGGCGGAGAGCCTTGAAAAACTTCTACAAAAAAACCACATTCTAACTTGAGCAACATTTCCAGTTTCATGTGAACTGGAAACCCTCCTGAACCTACTTTTAAAGGAAGTTAATAAGTAATGGTGGAAAACCCTTGACCTCCCCTTTTGAAACCTATTTAAGCCACCTCAGGGTTGGAAATCAGTCCCATATCTGCTGCTTGGAGAGGAAGTCAACCAATCTCAGAGGACACTCCTGTCAGGTAGAGATCTCTTTCTCTTATAGACTCCAAGAGGGGTCAAAGCCAGAGAGATTTAAAATGGAGATAATATAGGGAAGAATCAGGTATTGATGATAGCAGCCTTTATCATCTGCTGTGTCAGTTGTGAAGATGGATGAGTTGCAAAGCTTCTCCATCCATTGCAGTGAGAAGGGTAACTATACCCCTTTGGAATTCAGGCAGCCAGAAAACTTTACAGCCTGGGGAGCATTATGTATTCATAGAAGGCTGGGCATAATTGCGTGTTTGGGACACACAATGCCCTCACCTAACAAAAAGGACTGCACAAATGTTTTGCTAATTCAAATTCTGTGACTAGATTAATTTCTGCCTTCAGGTTACATTAAGCCAGTAGGTCTCAAAGTGTGTTCTGGGGAATCCCAGGGGTCCATGAAGTCAAATAAATATTTGAAAATGTCTCAGTTTTAACTTCTAATACAGTAAATATTGATAAATATACCCCACATAAACCAAGTCTTTGGGGCCCTCAATCATGCTGAAGAATGCAAAGGGGTCCTGGGACCAGAATGTTTGAGAACTACTGCATTAAGCAAATTGAATGCAATTTGTATAAATGTGATGGCCTATTTTCTTAAGGACTAGAGTCCTGAAGCCTATGGATAATTTGGGATATTTTGTCAGGGAGGTAGGAAAAAAAGCCCTGTTATTGGAGTTTGTTGTCCACTAGCAGTTTGGCCTACTTGCTGCACATCATTCTGTCTTAGGCAAATAGCTCTATTCTAAATGGCTGGTGTGGGCACACACACACCCCTCAAATTCCCACGCTCTGCTTTCAATGGGTGTTTTGAACTGGGCTATGGGACTCCCTGCCCTGAAAGGCTAGACCTCTGTTGCTTTTGGGGAGTTCAGTAGTGGAATGGGGAGATCAGAGCTCCTTGTTTTGTCTTTCAAAACAAGGTGAAGTTGACAAGGGTTCTGCCAAGCTATTGGAAGAACTGAACAACAGTTGCTGTTGTTTTTCTCCGTCCTCAAAAAATATTTTCAGAAAGGGAAATCAAACAATGCTTGCTTTCTTGGCATGAGTCAGAGGGATCAAGAAGCAGAGGAACCGACCAATCAGGGAGCATCTTGCCAGACAGAGCACCTGGCCATTCCTGTGGCTGAAATGGAAGTAGGGGATGACATCCAGAAGAACATTTCTTAAATCGGCTTCATTTCCTACTGGTTTATGTGTAGGAGACCAGCAGCTGAAGATTGTGCTATGGAAAAGCCCAAGGTTGTCTTTAAGTTGAGCTCAACCCTTTTTATGGAGATGACACATGGAGCACTTTTCTCGGCAGCAAGCCTGAACTGAATTGCCATTGCCTTCTACAATGGCGTTTGGACTTTCTAGAGTAGCCTATAGTCCTGGGGCAGTCTCACCAAGATGTCAGTCCAATGAGGTAGACCAGATCAGGAAACGGACTCCATGGGAAGACTAGAACTCTGTTGAGATAGGTTGTAGTAACAGAATCTTGCAGGTCTACCTGTGTTTTCCTTCCCTTCTTCTTATACCCCAGAAAATCAGGGGGAGCCAACCTTTCTTTGTCTAATACTTTCCTGTCTCCCTGGCCCCACACATGACTCTGCACCTGTTGTCCCCAAGGCCTTCTCCATGGCTCCCTACAAAGCTGGACACTTTGAGTTACTTAGCTGAATAAGGAGAAACAGATCTGTTTGTAGGCCTGTGAGAATTGGCTGAGATTGGCCTCAATGCATCAAGTCCATGAAGACTTTACTTCAGTTAATAACTTCAGTCGGATAATAGGAGCTTCTCTATGTTCTTCATATGCACGGAAGCCCCTATTATTGCTTGGTCAAAAAAATGTGGTTGCTTGGTTCCCGTTAAAAGTAGACACCATTCCCTACTTGTTTCAAAGAGAGAGTTCCAGTGAAGCTCCAAAGAAACCAAATACTCCCTTGATATTCTCTGCAGCCCTACTACTGTTAGTCCCTGTGGTAAAAATATTACAGAAAACTAGCATAACATCCTTGGAAAAAGTTTTGACAGGTTTTTCTTGATCAAAAATGAACCTAACTTAATTCTCACACCCATCCTTAGGTTTGCCAATTCAGGAAGTGCCTTCCACATACATGAACACAGCTCCTTTGAGAAATATGCTCTTAATTTTCTATAACCATGTTGATAATATTTTGCCCCCCTTCCCCGAACACAGTGCTGTGAATTTGGCTTTGAAGTTGGTATCTCTGAATGTTTTTCTGTCACGCTCTAAGATTACACTTGTTTTCACAAGGCAGATAAGGAAATGGGGTAGGAAGTGGGCTGGAATGAAGTTTGCAATAGTGAAATTAAGAAAAGTGGTATAACCGCAGGCTATGTGAGTTGACAAAAAGAACAGAAAATACTACCCTGAGCCTTATAAAGAAAATTACATTATTTCAGATGAAACTAACCAGGCATTTTCTAACTTGAGGCCCTGTTTACTTCGGGCCATCTGGCAATGGTCTTTCCCATCACTTGCAATTTGGAGATGCTTGGATCCGTAGTGAAGATTTTCTACATCCTGTATCCCTGAGTTGGTCCCCATTTTTGCAGGAAAATCCTTTCCATGAATTCTGGATCATCATAAACATGGGAAAATGACTTTCCATCATAATCAGAGATGTACAAAATAGCCAGTCTGGAGAAACTGTTCTGTCACCTTGAAAGAGAGATACACATGCTTTGAGATATGTTGAATAAGAGTGATTGACATGAGTTGAATTAAAAAAGCTCCCAGTTTGAGGTAGTATTTAATTTGCTTTCCTCAGTTCCTCCTTTTGAGAGTGTCAGCTTTCAATGGCTAATCCATCTTACCACCTGATTAAACTCTGTTTATGTTGGTATGTCTGTTTTCTTAAAGCTCAACTTAGGGCTCTGTTCTTTGATGGATGGAGATTCCATCCCAGGGCTACCCAACTGCCATTGTCCATGTGGACTGTGAACTGTGGGAGCTGAAACTCTACAAATAGAGGATCCTGAATTTGAAGGCTGTCACATCTGGGCTGCAGACCCTTGGGAACCACTAGGTGGTATCAAGTGAAATACAGAAAAGAAACCTCTCCTGCCATTTCCAAGTCCCCCAGATTTTGCATCGCTATTTCCCCATGCAAAGGGCACCCCTCATTTCTTCTCAGCCCCAAACGCTGCTGGCCTGAGACCAACCAGGCTTCCTCACTAGGAAAGAGGTGTTTCTTTTCTTCAATGTAGCAACTCCAAATCACCAATAGTGAGGACAAAGCGATGTGGCAGAGCATGTTCTCTGTAGTGAAACGAAACAGTTTAAGAGTATTGATAATTCAGCTTAATTTACACAGCAGCTGCTGTTTAGCTTTCCTCGGTCCTTCATCCAACCATGCTTCACATCTCCTATTATATAGCACCGTGATATGTAAAATTGCACCACTGACTGATGATCCCTATTTGTGACACAGCGGCTGTAGAGAATCACTGAGATGATCTTGGAGGAAATGTGCAGAAATAGTTATGAAGGGAGGGAGGGAGGGAGGGAGGAAGGAGAATAAGAAAGAAAAAAGAAAAAAAAACATACTTTAAGGCCAGGAAAGTGTTATGAAGAAGTTCAGACTGGTTCTACTGCAATTCACTGGGGCATAAGAGGAAGGGAAGGAAAAACACAGTCATGTTTTCAAGATTCTGTTACTAGAGCCTATACCAGCAAAATATATTTCCAGTCAAACTTATGGAGTTGGTTTCCTGACCTGGTCTACCCTGAAGGGTTGACAACAGCCTTGAAAGCCTGACCTTGTTTATTCAGCATACCTAAACATATCAGTTGAAGACCTAGCCACTGCATTCCCAGACATGTTAGGCTTGGTTAGCATCAATCTTGATTAGTTCTCTGTGTGTGAAAGACAAAGAGAGAATAACTTAGTATTGTTGTGCAAACCCACCATTAGATACCACAACTAACTGGTGTCCTGAAAACCCAGAAAATGGGTGAATTCAATAACCGAGTTGAGCATGTTGCCAACTAGCCCATGTTAATTAAATCATGGCTTACTCAGTTCATGTAGTGCCTTGGACCATAAAGTAACTACACAGGTTGGGTTACTTCATTACTTTAAAATGTGGAGTGATTTTCATGTGTGTGTGTCAGTGTGTAATTATGAATGCAACATATTTGTCATTGCCAACATTATTATTATTAACACCACCAGATAATTCTGACTAGATGATGACGATAATGATTTTACAATAAATGCTACCTGCTGCAATCAAAACAGACCATGGGTTAGTGTAGAACATGGACACAGGTGAATAATAAAAATCATCGGGGAAAATTCAACACTTCATAGGCACCATTCAGTTCAACTAACTTAAGGGCCAAATGCCACTGGAGCAGGACTGCTTTGACTACTTTTGAAAAGACCCCCCTGAGGAGGGGTCATCCATAATTCCTTGGGGAGAGGCTACATAAAACAAGGGGCCACCGCTAAATTGTCTGAACCAGCAAAGCCAGTGGGTGATATATAGGCCTCTGATGGGATGGGTGACCTCTCAGGTGCCCAGGGTTTCCACCCCTTATGTCCACTACCCAATGAACAAAGCAGAAGCAAAGCCAAAGTTGCCCTTCCTCTGGAGAAGATCTGACTCCCTGTCCCAAAGGTGGTCTTCAAACAAGTTTGTCTCTCAGTTTCAGCCCTTCTTTTTCTCTTCCAGACACCAACTCTGCCCCAACCATTTCACACGATGTTGCCACTGCTCATCCTCCTCTCTGTGGGCTGGAGTAACATGCCAACAAATGGGGAGGTGGTGGACTCCTTTCAAGACAATTGTCCTCAGTTTTTCCTCCGAGAAACTCCACCAGATATAAGGCTTCCTCCACACCCTGTCCTCATTTGCCAGCGTTACAAAAACCTGTATCGTTTTGCCTCTTTGTATGATAAAGACAATCGCATCCCAGTATATTCAGCTTATATCTACAATCCGGGGAAAGCTAAGAGACCCACAAAATGGATGGTTGAACCCCAGGTAAGAGACCAGGATGGCGTGGTCCCTCCTCCCTTTGGTTGAATGTAGCTTATAATTGATATCTCCCACAAATATTGGGGCTGAAACTCCCAGAAATGTATCTTTTCTGTTCTGTTCCATTTCTATCGTAATATTTATTTAGGTATGTATGTATGTTGGGGCACTAGATTATTACTTCTCATTCAAGTGCTGCTTCCACTGTGTTGCATCTGTATATTCCTTGGTATATTCAAACATTACATTGGGCCGTTAACCTCTGATGGATCTGAACAAAACCAAAACTGGGTAAATGCTAGAACTCTGGAATTTCTCTTCACTAGAAATGGGAAAATTGATTGGTTATGTGCCATCAAGTTGTTTTTGACTCCTAGCGACCACATAGATAGATTTTCTCCATGACAATCTGTCCCTAACCTGTTCTTTCAAGTCTCCCAAAGGTGCACCCATTGCCATTGTAACTCAGTCCATCCACCTTGCTGCTGGTCCTCCTCTTCTTCTCTTTTCTTCCACCTTTCCCAGCATTACAGTCTTTTCCAGAGAGCTGGGTCTTCTCATAATGTGTCCAAAGTAGGATAATTTTGAGCCTGGTCCTTTGTGCCTCAGGTGAGAACTCTGAGTTGATTTGTTTGATGATCCATCGGTTGGTTTTCTTGGCTGTCCATGGAGTCTTCTCCAACACCAAAGTTTAAAGGTGTCAATACTCTTCCTGCTTTTTTAAAGTCCAAGAAATGGGGAAATAGCACACAATAATAATAATAATAATATTAATATTATTAATAATAATAATAA